GTTGATTTTTAACAAAAATATGACTGATAAATTGCGTAAGCAACTTAAAATGTCAGCTTGATTTAGAGGTCAAACTATGATATACAAGCCATGGTTTTTATGGCTAGTTTAAACTTTAAATTTAGCTTTGATTTAGGGGTAAAACATTGACCAACCTTTAATGCTGTATTAATTTACATACCTTGAAAATCCAATGAGTTTCGACCAAGTTACTCTAGTGTGAAATTAGAACTTAAGTTCCATAGAAATTAAAATACCTTTTGAGCTCTTTTTCAAATTTATTTAGCTGTCTTTTTCTTAAGTTTACAGTATGCGAGACACTTTGAGTGCTGAGAACTTACCTGAAAGAGTATTAAATCTTGATTACAATTTTTATATTTGTTTTCGTTGCTGCTGCACGCAATTGCATGTCAACTTTGTAAGAGAGGCGCTGGGCCACGCCCACTCTTAAGCGCTCTAAGCATGGTCACATCGATGCCCGTCAACTTTACATCTTCTCTCCTCCCTCGTCCCTCGTCTGCCCTTCTGTCCATTCCCATTCCCGTTCCTGTTCCCGTCACGATTTGCTGCTCCCTGGAGCGCGTTCAGCCGGCATCAACTAGCCCGTTGTTTGCTTTAACGATATTAACCGCGTGGATAGTCACAGTCATTGGTCACGCCCATAACGCCCCTAAACGCCCAATGCGATAAAGCGATAGAACCAGCACGATGAACGATGGAAGTCGCCCTAGCGATGGTCACGTGAACCCATCAAAAACTGACTAATGAAATACGTGTTCCAATGCTCAAAAACATTTCAGATTGTTTCTTAATGTCGTTTTTATATTGTATAGATATAATAGATATCTGAAGTAGTGATTAAATTAATTAAATTTAACTTGGCAAATATTTGATTATAGTATTGGATATATTATAAGACATATATCAGACTATATTACAAGATTATAAATGGCCAGAAACAGCTACAATATTTCTTCAATGTTTGTCAGCAAATATTTTGCAGAAAACATTTGCATTATTAATGTTAAATTATTAAATAATTGATATATTTATTGTGTAAATTAATATTAATATATCACACTATAGTAGAGAAACTATAAATATTCAAAAACCCCATTAAATATATTTTAACTTTAAACAAAAACGATTGCAAAAGCAGCGTTTATTTTATTCCTTTTACAATGTTTTTAATAATTTTCTTGAACTCCGTTTGACATATTTAACTACGTTTATTATTTACTTGATTTGGCTATATCTCAACTAATTCACTTGCTATCGGTGTGCAATATTTGGTGCAATAGTTTTTAGTTGCTGAGCAGCGAGGCAAAAACTCACGCGCTCATCAATACATAGCCCAATGGCCACTGGGCGACATGAGCGCCATCTGTTGGCTGGTTGCCGAGACGCGGGTTGCCGTTGTCGTTGTTGCTGCTGTTGTTGCAAGTTGTTGCTGCTGTTGTTGTCGTCATTGTCGCTTTACACATTGCATTTTATTGACCATAACTGACTTTGTCATTGTATATCCCAAACGCGACAGCATTGCCAGAACGGGGGGAGTGGTCCTGTTGAGACTGGACTGAGTGCGAATACAGTAGCCACCCTGCAGCGGCAACGATGCTGCAGCAGCTGTTCGCCCTGTTTCACCGATGTTGTTGCTGTTATGCCCTTGTATTGGGTATTATCAAGTTGTCCTGAGGTGTGTGCGGCAAGAAGGGTTCGATTTTTGACTCCACAAAGAGTATGCATATTCTTGCTGAACATCAATAGTTAAGTCGATATAATCTTGCCCGTCTGTCTGTTTTTCTCTAGTTGCTCAGTTTTAAAATTTGGCATATATCCTATATATAACTCTCATGGGAACTATCGAACAACAACATCAATATAAGTTCTTCTATAAAAAACTTGTTTATAACCAAGTATACAAAACTAATTTTCTAGTTAAGAATATACTTCAAAATTAAGCGTATTTTTGGGTTTCTGTTACGGTATGTGAAAGAATTCTCTCTACTATATTATATTATAAACTGTACTGTACTTTTTATTACACTATGTTTACAGTTACTATCGGTTCCTCTAAAAATATGTTGAAATTCATTTCCAGTCCTCAATTTCAAACTGCTTCTAACATTTTGGCAATATATAATTAACAACAGACCGCTATATCATATAGGAATAATCGTTGATTTTCTTAAAAAGTTACATTCAAAGGGTATATAAAAGTCGGCATTCCTCGATTAGTTGTGCTTTTTTGTTGCTTGTTGTTGCTGCTGCTGTTTGCAACAACCCTGCTTGCCATTGCTCATACGCCGCGTGGCACTGAAATGGCGACGCTCTTCCGCGTTGTCATCAACAGCAGCAGCAGCAGCAGCAGCAGCAGCAGCAAGAGCAACAACAGCAGCAACAACAACAGCAGCAGCAAGTGCAACTGCAACAGCAGCAACTGAAAGGCAGTTGTTCGCTTCGCCCGCAGGAGAAGTTTTTGTTGTCGCTTGTGCAACATTGTTGTGTTTGTGTTTGTTGCTGATGTTGCACCTGTGTGCGCGCATCGTTGTTGTTGCAGCTATTTTTGTTGTGGTTACTGTTGCCTTGCTTAGCAGCTTTAGTTGGCTGTTGGCTATTAAACTTTGTGTGCTGCTGCTCGTGTTGCAGCTTTGATGATTTTGTTAACTTGACTGCCAGTTTATCGTGCGTCTGGCAATTTGTCAAACAATGTGTCAAAATGCTCAACGGCGTCCCAGAGGCGCCAACCCCCTCAGCCCCCTAATCCCCAATCTCCCCCCCCCCCCTTGCACACATTAATTAAATGACTTTTAAACTTTTGCATTGTTCATTAGTCAAGTGCATTTATGAGACTCTCTAGATGCTTGTTGCAGCGGCAGCCGCTAATTAAAACATTTGCCACTCATAATGAGGCACGCACTCATTATGCGTAAGCGCAGCAATTGCTACGTGCAGCACCACCAGTAACACCACCACACATATCTTCCAGCTAATCCCCCAACAACAAGAAACCACAATAATATTGCACTAACCACTCGAGTCGATTGCCTTATCGGAGCTGCTCGGCTAAAAACGGCTTATCAAACAGACAACCACAATAAACAAGAACCACAACCACCACAACTACAACAACAACAAAAACAAGTTGTTTCAATTGACACACTCGTGACCCACAAAACAAACAAACCAGCAAAATGTGCGAAAAAAAAGAACAATAATAACAAGAATAAACAGAAATAAACAAAATTCAGAGAGTAACAAAAAAATTAACGCTTCCCAAACAAGCAAAGTGCCGCCACACAAACAACACAAATACCCTACACAATATTCTATGAAAAACTAAAGAATAAATATAAATATTAATATCTATAGTTAAACACATTAAAGTAAATATTTGTGTGTATATAATATAATATTTAAATGTATATAATTGACACACTATTTTTCAATATAAAAGTTCGATATCAAAAATAAAGTAAGCTATAATAGATATATAAAAATAATAAATGAGAATTTCCTCCTACTTTCTCATATCTCAAATGTCATATTACAAAGACAAAGAAAATTAACAAACTTTATGGCATAAATGCATTACAATATATATACACCATAACCAGGATGTCAAACCGGAATTCAGAATCGGAATTGGAACCTAAATTCAAAACATTTTATAGCCCAAATAATGGAATTGAGATTATTTTTTACTGATGCTTAAGTGAATTTCCTTGTTTTGATTTTGTTTCCAAATTCAATTAATAATTTTATTACTACTAAGCAGTATAGTATGCAGTAATTTACCGATTAAAGGTCATCTGTATTTACATAAATAAAAAGGTTCCATATCAATCCGTACAATTATATTTTATATATACTCAGTGAGGCTTATCAGGTTGACTGAACCCACATCTAACTCAGCAAAAATCACAGATGGGGGTACTTCAGATGGGGGTACTTCACTTGCGAACCTCGTCATGCATTATTTATGGCATCGTGAGCGCATTCAAGCTTCGGTTATTCACTTTTTGTATTTTCCCTTCCCCTATATGCTGTTTATCAATTCGAAAAATATAAAAAAAATAAAGTCCAATAAAGTTGACCACTGAATAACAGCAACAAAATGTGTCCAATGAGCAATACAAAAAGTTGAGAATTTAGCGAGGAAAGAGATTGCACAGTGCGAGAGGGAGAAAGAGAGAGTGGGGAACAGAGAAAGAGAAAGAGAGAGAGTGCTAAACATTTTATCGTCACTTAACCAATGAGTAAATGAAATTTATTTTTATATCATGTACTTGTGCCTATTTGCATTTTGAAATTTTCTATGTGGGTGCAGTCCCACCCCCACAGATAAGGGGCGCAGGGATCGGTGTGGAGCTATCACTGTTTAAGTCTCACAAAAGCTCATAAAAAACAGCGATTGCGATTTTTTTATGCTTGTTTTTTGGGTTCGGGTTCGGGTTTGTTTTTGGGGTTTGTGTTTTTATTTTGTCACTGGACAATGAGTCATTTTAAACGCCGAATGCTTAACCCGAAGTGAAGTCCACAAGCTCTTAATGCTAATTAGGCGCATAATTCGGCTGCATAGATAGCAAACATGCGCTACAATCGGGCACATGCACAAATGCACTTAGGCTTAAGCCATCTTGAATAAACGTATAATTAATAAAATAAATGCCATATTTTGCATTAGGTGTTCAATTTTAACTCTTTTCAAATAGTATTCATTTGTAGACTTGCAGCGCATAGGCGCAACTCAAATACCCAAAACAAAAATCGTCCACAAGCAGCGCTCAGCTGTTATCGTTGTTTGCGCTCTTCACGCACGCTTCGCTCTCTCGCTCTGCTCTCTCAGAGTGTGTGTGCGCAGCGCGCTCTCTCTCTCGCTTCACCAAACGGCTGGCATGTGCCAGTATTGCTGCTTTGGCCGGCAGTATGCCATCGATTTTTCCAGTTGTCGCTTCGCCTGAATTCGCCGGCATTTTTACTTGTTGTCCTAGGACAGGAGAAGAGCGCATATAACAGCTGATTGCGGCGAAAACCTAGCTTCGTCTGCAGCCGACACGAGAGTGCCTCGTGCTGTGCTCACGTGTGTGTTTGTGTGTGTGTGCAGTGCATTTGACACTTCGGTTCACGTTTCTGACAGCTGCAGTTACCGTTGCAATTGCTGTATTTATTTTCGCACTTCCGAGGAAACAATAAAAAAGTGTGTTTGTTTTTTTCTTCACAATTTTGATGTTGCTGGCCATGCGAAAACGTAAAAAATCGAGTCTCTTTCATTTCCTAATGCACAAATCCGTTTGGCTCAAGCCAAATGCATTTAAGTGAGAGTGAGCGAGCGCGAGAGAGTGAGAAAACTGAGAGCGGAAATTGAGACTGTCACGAACTTGCCGCATTAGCACACAACCAACAACAACAACTACAACTACAACAACAACAACAAGAGAAACAACGCTCCTCAGAGAAACAGATTTGTATAAATTGCACCGGAAGTGCGACTCAGGTTTGTAGTGTGTGTGCGTGTGTGTGTGTATTTGTGTATTTGTCGCTTTTCACTTTCGCTTTCATTTCACCAAATTGCACTAAATTGCGCTTTTGACACAATTAAGCCTCCAAAGTGTTTTCGTCATTATATTCCACCCCACCCCACCTGCCTCCCTTCTCTCCCTCTCTCTCTCTCTCTCTCTGTTCATAATTGAAAAGTGATTTGTGCTAAGGACAAAAAAAGAGGCACAAATATTTCTTAGTCTTCTCATTATGCAGTGCAAGGTGACTCACTGTGGGCGGAATACCACAACAAAAAATAAAACGCCTCCCTTTTTGCCCCGCCCAACGAGCTCCGTTCGTGTCCAGGACAACAAGCAACAACAAATTTATTGCTACCAATTAATTTGGGGCCAAAAACATTTTTAACAACAGCCCCCCGCAACACACACCCCTTTTTGGACCACGCCTCAGGTATTTTCAATTAGCTGCATAATAAAAACAAGGCGGCCGAACGATAAAATAAAAATTGTTGCTAATTTGTTTTGTTATTGTGATTTATGTAGGCGCCGTGAGCGCTAGAAGAGAGAGAGAGAGAGAGAGAGAGAAAGCTCTGACGTCACACATGCAAGAAGAGAGCGCCTTAAAATTGTGTGATTCAATTAAACTGAATTTAATTGGCAAATTCTTACGAGTATTTTTAGTTCTTATTAATTTTCAAGCAAGGTTTTCCTTTTTGGCTTGTAACCATTATCAACCAGAAGCTTATCAGTTAGCGATAAAATGCCAAAATGACTTACAAGATATCCGCATTAAAATATATAGACATAGATATGAAGTGTGCAGAGTTAATATTATCAATATCTATTATGGCATCGAGCAGTTCAATGAACAGTAAATTATGATTTATCGACTTCTTGGCCTTAGACTGAACCAAGTTACGGGCGTGTTTGTATTTTCAATCAAAATCATTCACAAATACCACAAATTATGTCTAACAAGCAAGATCAAGGCTATAAATTTCAAATTCGACAGATTTTTCCAATGAAAGCTTTGTATTATTGTGATCCGATATCTATGATTTTCCTCCAACTTTTCAGTGCTTTACAAACTTCACTACAAAATGCTTGAGTTTGAAAACCGATTAAATTATTAATTATTAAATTGAAAAGTGTAGTTAAGTTTAATTGAAGTCCACATATTATTGTGCATTTTTTATTAAATCATTGTTTTTCATTATTCGGAGTTCATTAATTATTTGGTTCTTGTTTGTTATGTTAAAATATGTTTTGGAAAAATATTATAATGAGTACATGAATTTTGATATGCACAATTCGCTGGAACTTAAACTTCACAGACTTTCAGAACAGACTTTGAAGAACTTTGCCAAATAATAAATACGAAAATTAGTTAAGATTTAATAATAGGAGCTTTTCTTTAGCTTTTCTATTTTCCTACTCATTTTTTGGATAAATCTCAATGAACAAAATGTTTATAGTCCTTATCCTCGACTCCTGACTACAAATAAAATACTTGAGCTGCATATAGTTCTAATATTATCCCGATATTTAATTTAATGGGAAAATAAATGAATACGTTTCCCAAAATGTGGCAAAATGTATTTAATCAATAAATATTTTTGCAAGCTGCAGCAATGCTTTATGGCTTAATGATCATTGGAATGGAAAGGTAAAAGTTCAAAATTCAATTTACAGTTTGTTGCAAGTTCCAAGTTGCCACAGCACTACCATTAAACAATATATATATATATATATATATATATATATATAGTTATATATAGTGTATATGATACCTTTATAAATCAAACAACTGAAGCAGCAACTTTTGTCAACCAGCTACCTGTGCAACTAATTCATTTCATTTCATTTCATATTTCTGCAACATTTTCGAGCCAAAAAACTTTCGTTGGCCACTGCAATCAAAATAAACCACGTAACAATGCACCATTTGGGAGTGTGCGCGACTATCAGCATACCCTGTATAACTGAAATTAAAGTTAAATGTTCTTGGTCTGTGAATAATCAAGATAGCTGACGACTTATTTGAGTGTCAAACTGAAACGTTTTATTTTCCTCCTGCTCATTCATTACATAACATAACATGCACAACAATATACCACAATTTTTACTGTTTACAGGGTATAAGCAAAAGTCGAAAATCAACCAACCCCCCCAAAAAATGCAGCTGATTGAAAACTTTTTTAATTGATTTTCGTAAACTTCTCTTCTCTTTTGCTCTTCTTCTCGTCTCTTTTGCAGCCGTCAGGAAAACCGACACCAAGTTCGAGAGTCAGTCCCAATTCCAGTTGCAGTCCCCATCTCAATTCCAATTCCACATCGACCTGGAGTGAAATTTCAATGGGCAATGCACACAGCCAGAACCGCGGCGGCGGCGGCGGCGTCGCTGCTCTTGAAAAGTCAGCAGCAGCGTCGGGCAGCCTGCTGCGACTGGCCGCCGTTGGGACACACAATTCGCAACCTGGTGGGGGCATGCCCCAACCAGCAGCGGAGGAGCAGCGACGCAGCAGTCGGGCGCGAGTTTTCAGCCGTATGGCTAGCCAGAAGCGAATCCGGGACGCATTCCTGCAGGCAACAGTCGCTAGCACGCCCGTGTCGCCCACTTCGTTGGCGGCGTCGCCAATTCACGAGTGGAGCGCAGCGGAAGTGGAGACTGGACAATTGAATGCCAGCGTGGAACAAATGGATTTTCGTAAGTCAATTTCAAAGTTTACCAGAAATATTTTTTCTTCTTTTTTTTTTTTCTTTTTTTTTCACTTTTTAGTTTTTGTTTTTGATTGTTATTACTTTACTCGTTTTTTTTCCGTTGTCTCCAATTCAGTTTGTACGAAAGTTTGTTTTATTTTGTTGTTTTTTTATGTTGCAGTCTAAACCTCAAACCGGGCAAATCATGTCACCGACTAACATCATTTTGCCTTTTAACTTTTTAATGCAGCTGTGCAACCAAAACAATAAATATTTGAGCTCTCTTTAAAAAGTTGCACTCGATTTGGAATTAAAACAAAAATTTTTCAAATATCTGCAGAGAATTATAGCAGAGTCAGCAATAAGAACAACTAAATCAGGTTTAAGATTTGCCTTTTGATCAACCTTAAACTTAAATCATATGGATAAAATAATAGTATATAAATATACTTTTTATAAAGACTTTATTTACTTTATTATCAGCCATTAAGCTGGCTCTGGCTATAAGGCTCAGTTTTGTTCGATGAGCTATGACATTTAATCTAATATGAAATGGATACATTTTTCTGATATATTTTAAGTTTAACTGAGTCGCAGTAATCAACTGAAGAAGAGAATCTCATTTGGAAATTGAAAAAAAAAACACGAGAAATATTTAAAATGGTGGCTATAAAATAATTTCTTATTTTTCACTAATTCTTCTCGGCTTTTTTAGTATAGTAATATATAGTTATAGGCCAGGTTGTCATATTAAAAGCGGAACTGCAACTGAATACTAATTTATAATTTTTATAGCTTTCCATTGTTCGCTTATATTTATTAAAATATATATTCATTAAAGCGGGTCTATCATAATCATAGTTCATTTATTCTATATATATATATATATAATATCTTTAACCTGTGCGGCAACATTTTGTTCTTTTCCTTAACTTTTACTAATGTTTGTTTTATTGTTCAGCTCTTCAGTACTCCCTCTGTCTCTCTCTCTCTCTCTCTCTCTTTCTCTTTCTCCTTTTCCTCGCCCTGGCGCCCTCTCGCTCGATTTTCCCGTCGACTTATTTCAATTTAAGCGCAGTTTAAATAGGAATTTTCGTGCAAGTTTTTTCGGAAAACAATAAACACAAAAAATATCGAAAACTTTTCATCGAAGTTTTATGAAATTTGCTGTTTTTTTTTTTTGCTCTTGTTTTCCAGTTTTCTCTCCATTTTCGAAAAAAGAAAATAAAATTGCTATTTCGCTTTTGGTCTGCATGTTTTTGTTGATTTTTCCTTTCATTGGACTTTTAGAAAATTTCTGAGCTGTACTTTTCTGCTGCCGTTGTTTTGTTTCGACCATGGCGTATATGCAACACCCTTCTCTGCTGCTCCTCCACCTGCACATCGTCCTGCTGCCCTGCCCCTTTTGGAAAGTTGTTGCTGCTTTTCGTACTCCTAACTTATTGGCGTTTTCAGCTGGCAAAAAAAATATCTTGACGTTGTTACGTTTCGCATCGGCAAAGTGAAATAAAAAATTTATAGATTTTAGTTATTCATGTAAAATCTTTAAGATGCTTTAAACAAAAACAAAAACAAACAACAAATACAGAGAGAGTGAAAATATGACTTGGCTGCAGTTGAAAGCGAGGCAAGTTTACAATCATAACGCACACAGATACACACACACACACACACACACACACACACACACACACACACACACACACACACACACACAGAACAGAGACCCACTTCAAAAGCCCTACTCTGTCTATTAAAAAATACGTTGAAATAAAAAAGAAAGATATGAAAAAAGAAATGAAGATGAACCTGCAGGCTTGACTTGAACTCGACTGCTGCCTTCGCCTCTGCCAAACAAATTGAAATATAACCGAAACGCATTTCAAATATACTCCAAACAACGACGACTTTTGTACACCCTACAGCTATAGTTAAAATAAAAAAAAAAGCCGATTAAAATTTATCACCATAATCGATCCGAGAATTCAACAATCTCTGATTGCTTAACTCATTTCAAATAATTTCAAATTTAGAACACAAATTACACATTCCTTGATGGGGAAACAGATCGAAATTAACACATTAAAACTCAGCACTAGAATCGAAAACGTTGGCCAAAGTCGACTATCCCTGAACACGAAATAAAGCCAATTGAAAGTGGAGCATCGAAATTTGACATTCCCCGATTTTTTGACCGAACAACCGATCGACATTAAACACTTGAAACTCGAAAGCATAAAATTCGATAAGGTTTTATTCACATTTTTTAATTGCATAAAGTCTACCTATTAATTTCTTGGAAATCCATTCCATTTCTTCAATCTAAACGACCCAATATATTTAACAGATTCATTATTTATATGCACTCGGATATAGAGTATACAAATTGACGCCGACAACAAAAACTGAACGAGAATTTTGGGATGATGCTTTGCCTCTGTTTGCCAAAGACTCCAACCATGCCAAACAGTTGAGCAGAAGGACTAGTTCTGGGGAAGGAGAGGCAGGTTGATCAGAAGTAGGGCGTTGGGGCTGCTGGGGGAGTGGCAGGCAGGGAGTTGTTGCTGGCTATATCAAAAAGCAATTCAAAGGCATTGCTGCATGGCTTCTTTCTTTTTGCATTGCAGCGCAGGGCCCGATTCCAAAATCAAATCAGCGAAAAAATCTTAAACGTGCCAAGGCGCGATTTGCTCTCTATCAAAAATTCCCTTTCAGTCGGAGATAGCAGCACCAGCAATGAGACACGCCCCCTCAATTTATGCTGGTTTTGCATTTACAACACAACAAGTTGTTCTTCATATTTTTATTTATTTTATTTATTTTTGTGTGTATTTTTTTGGGAGCCTCTTTTCAATGCATAAATTCATAATTCATGTGGACCCCGTTTGGAAAACTCGGCGCGGCCTCCATTTGCACAAATATAAAAAGGAGCCTGCCAAATTTGTATAAGCTTAGCGCTTGAGGGGGGGTGTGCTGGGGTAGCTGGTGTCTACACTCGCCAGAAATATGTGCTCTAGAATCTGAAAATTAAACTCTCAACCAAAAATAATTCGAATTTCGAATATTGCATTAAATTTAAAATAAGAAAAATATTACAAGGAATTTACGAATAACTATATAAACACTTAAAAAAATCAAAAACAAATTAAATAATCATAATTTTGCTCTAAATGTCAGATAAAGACTATTAAAGATAATTTAAAAAAAATATGTATAATAAAAAAAATATTTTATAAATTTTTAATAAATGTAATTTCTGCATTTACACAAAAGAGCAGAGCAATTTAGTAAATTTGTGAACATATATTTTGTAATTAGATCGAAATATCACCGACTTTCTCAGTTCATGTATGATTTTTCTCTCAGTGTAGTGTCTCCGCCGTTGCTTAGTTTTGGTTTAGTTGCGAGGGCAACTGCAGCATTTTGATGTCAAAACATTGCAGCATCCAACAACTACAACAACAACTGGCAACGTGCTCAATTAAGCGCTCACGCAAAACTAATACACACTAACACACACACACATTAACTGTTAAAAGAGTTTTGATGGCACGGCACGTGGCAAGCCGTTAAAATTTATGGCAATTAGTTTTAATAGTTTTCCTTGTACATTTCTATATAAAGTTGTAAACTTTCAACACTCCACAATGCTAGTTCATTTCCCTTCCCTCTGTTGACTAACAGTTTTAATAACTGTTTAACGCTGTTAACAATTTGTTATTATGTTACCGCAATTGTTTTGTGTACTCTGCACTTCAATTTCATTAATTATTTGGCTCTCGAGCGTAATTTTCAAATTCTGATATATAATCAGGACAAGACTCTACATATAACAATATTTGAAAATGAAAATGAGATATTTTTGTTGTCTCCTAAAACTATGCAACACATAGTAAGATAAACTTCCAATGAGTAAAAGCTCTTGCTGAGCTTTTTAAATTCACCTTGACAGTTTGCAATATAAAAGCATACAAAGAAGCGCAGAGATCGCAGATCAAAGCTATAAATAGACTGCCAATTCAGGCATCTATTTTAAAAAACTTCATTCAAATTTTAAAAATAATACAAGCAGCTGTGAATTTCGCATAATCAATGCACGACAAAGTTTTTAAATGTTTAAATTAAATTAAACAACGCAAAATTTTCCGTCATTTTATTTCTCATGATAAAGATTAATGCATTAAAATTTTTACCACACCTCAGTTTACTGATATTGAAAGGAGACCGCAAAATAGAAATAAATAAATACCCGTGTGAGGACACATCCGATAACAGTGGCAAACGCATACAGACAGAAACCTACTCATTAGTATCGGCACTAATATGTAAGCCAACACATCCACAAATAGAATAGTAACGGTATATTCCACGATCATGCCATTCACACAACTCTCTCGCTCTCTGTCGGCAAAATATAGAACTAAAATGTAACAGAATGAAAGAGTAAACAACTGCCTTGAAAACAGCCAAGCGGCATGACGGTTACATCTAGCAGTTAAAATATACGCACGTTTTCTATTTGTTCTATTTAAGCGTTTTCATCAAGAAAATATTCAAGATAAATTTAACATGAATAAGTCAAAATGCATAAGTTATGGTTTGTACATATTTATTGTAGTTTTTGCATTGTTTTTTTTTTTAATTGCACCTTTAAGCCGCTCACAACAATGATGAACCGGCTCTTCTTCACTCTCACATTTGATTTATTATATTTTAGCTTTAAGCCGCTGCCAACAGTGACGAACCTGCTCTTGTTCACTCTCACATTCTCACACTAATACGCTCTCTTTTGCATGCTCTCGCGCAGAACGCGGCTGGCTTGACTTCCAGGCGCGTGTGGTGAGCACGGCTTCTCTCTCTCACATATGCATGCGGCGGCCTAACAAACCAGTTGCTCTTTTTTGTTGTTGTTAGTATCGCTTTGTGCTTGCTGTCGCGCAGATCGTTCAAGTCGCAGTCGCGCCGCAGTCGTCGTCGTTGTCATCGCTTTCGGCTAATTGGAAAATGTATGTAGTGAAAAGTGAAAAGTTGTGTTAAAATTCACGCTTAAAGCTATAACAAAAAAAAACAAGCGAGCGTGAATAAAAGAGATTATTGCAGGTGTCACATTCACATATTACAGGTGCTGCACAAAAGTTCTGTTTCATAATTTTTGGTTTTGTTTTGCTTTTAGAATTTGCTTTGATTTTGTTAAGCACGCACGAAATTAAACAATTTGTTTGACCAACAACAATAAATACATAAAAAAATGACGCTGTTCTCGTTTCCATTCCCGAAACTTCTTGCTCTCCCCGCTGCCCCGGCCACCCGCTCGCCTACCTTTAGCCCATAACCAAACCAGTTTCGAGTTGGCTGCTTGCGTTTTGTTTTGTTTTGTTTGGGTTTTTCATTTTTCGTTTGTGTTCTTTTTGGTGTTTTTCTCTTGTGCCGTCATTTGTCACTATTTGTAACCTTTTGTGCTTTTGAGCTCATTTTTCATATGGATTTTCCATATAATTTTTTGCTCTATGGATTTTCAGTTTACGTTTTGTTGTTTGTGGCCATTTTCCAATAGGAGAGCGTGTCAACTGCCACTCTCTCTCTTTCTCTCTCTCTCTCTCTCTCTCTCTGGTTGGTTAGCCGCTTTCCAGTGGCGCTTTGTTTTTATTTACTTTTATTTAATTATTATATTGTCCACACATGTTTCGTTTTCTCAATGAGTTCCATAAACCCATAATTCAATGAGTTTAGTTTTTTTTTCGTTTAATTGTGGAATTCTTGTGCACATAGCTCATCTTGTGCGCACTTCTGTCTCTCTTTTCTTCTCTTCTCTTCTACTTGTTTCCTACTTCGCCGCTGCCTTCGCCAGATGACGTCGTTAGCCTGGACTACAACAGCGATTCGGCAGAGTTTCACAACTGCAGCAGCGAAGATTGCTGCTATGCATCGACTTCCACATTGACGCAGCAGAACGAGCACCAGCAGCAGCAGCAGCGACGCTTGCACTCCCTTTCCATCACTTCTTCTTCTTCTTCATCTGCTTCTTCCACGCCAAGCAACGATTCTGATTCTCTCTTTGGTAACTAAGCAAAAACAATATTCCTATTGGACTCGACTTTGGCACATGTTTGCTTGGCATTGGTATCCAATATGAATTTGATATTGTTAAATTCCAATTAGCATTTTGAAATTTCCTTTAATCTACATTTTTAAATAAGAAATAAAATACTTATCTAGATTTAAAATATGGTTTTAGGTTTATTTTTTAATATTAATAATTTGATATATATTTTACTGACACTGCCAAAAATGTATTTTCCAAAACAGATCTCAATAATAAGGATCTGTTGGAGTTGCAACGACGTTGTCGTGCCGATAAAATCGCCTGCCTCAGTTTGAGTCGCATCACGTACCTGAGCATTGCCAATGAACGACTGGCGGAGGGGCAGGAGCGGGGGGCAGAGCAACAGCAGCAGCAGCAACAACAACAGCAGCAGCAGCAGCAGTTGTTGATAATAACGCCGGAGAGTTCGCCGGACGAGCGAATGGCGCTGCAGCTGGGCAAGAAACTGGCTCAGGTGCTGGGCACTACAGCCACCACGCCCACCATTGAAACGCCTACAGCAGCAGCAGCCTCAGCCACAACAACAACAACCGGTGGCGCCTCCGTTGCGGTTGCAACGCCCCGCGTCGACTCTCCGCTGGGCAATGGCGAAATGTTTAACATATCCAAGGCCAAAAAGGTCGAACTTCAAAATCTGTCATCGCGTTTCAGTGCTGCCGTCAATCCCCCAGCCACGCCCACAACAAGCGCGACGGAGGCGTCACCAGCAGCAGCAGGTGAGTTCAACAAAGTGTGGGAGGGAGGGTGGTAAGGGGATGTATGCTAAAATTCGGTTTCAAAATCTCCTTTTAAATTGAGCAAATGAAATTAATCAAAACTAAAATAAAAAAAAATGAAATTATTCAATTTTATCTTTGAGGCTTTTCCACGATCCTTAAATTTGTAATTTGAAACCAATTCTCGTATATGGCTAGATTGGTAAACCATTTTAAATTCGAATATAGAACAAGGTATAAATATGTAAATAGTCCAGTTTTTTAAACGTTCAAACGTTTTCAAGCCAGCGCTGGCTTGGAAAATAACTCCCAGCAATTGTCCATTCCCAAAATGCAGGCATTTATTTGCTCATTTCGCATTCCGGGGCGAGGCTGGCGGCGTTTAAAGTCACGTGGGGGTCGCCGTTTGCCATTACAAACGCATTACGACGGGGTTTAGCTGGATTGGGTGGTGGCAGCACAGTTTGTGCCTTTTGGCAAAATGCGGGAATTATTCAAATTCCCACTTGGCCCCGTCGCAAATAAACGAAACGCTAACAAACCCAATCCAGAATGGTCCACGATTCAAGCTTAACTGTGTTGTCCTTGATGCTGTTGTTGCTGCTTGCTGCTGCTGCTATGGCTGTTGTTGTTGTTGTGGCACACTCGATGCCATGTGTGTCTGCTCAAGTGTGTGGCCCTTGAGTCCGAAAATACGAAACAACAAAAAAAAAAAAGCAGTGGAAACAACTAAAAGCCTTGTCCTTTTTTTTTTTTTTGACTGGTGCTCAGCGCCAATTTCAAAGGTAAACACACGCATCGACCAAGTGCTTGCCAAACTGTACGGTTTGAGTGCAGCATTGAATCCCAAAAGGTTGCGACAAAGATAATTGAAGTTGCCCCATGCTCAAGGACGCAAAAGATAACTGTATTTACAATGTTTCTAAACAGCATTGAGAGTGGATGAAGACAGGCTAACAGCAAATGTGGGTCATGTTTTAGATTATATATCCTTGTGGGATCGAGTGCAGCTATTGACTTTAAAATCTCATTATAAATCTGGATGTCAATCAGAATTGTATCCGGTTCCGATTCGTAAAGTGTAAAGGTAAAAAACTTCAACCTATTCAAAGGATATAAATTGGTTTCAAATCATTTTCAACAATCGTTTCCATTATGGACCAATAATATCAGCTTCCATAACTGGCTCTTATGAAAACATTGAATTGCGTGGAAGCGAAATTGCATTTTAAGCAAACAAAATTCCATTCCAATTCTCTTTTTATTATTGCTTATTAGCATCCCATCAATTTTTCAAAATTCCTTATCAAGAATTTATTGAATTATATTTTCTGCTTTCATTGATTTAAATGAAGGCTGCTAATTGCAATTTGTATACAAATGGATATATTTGATATACTTCTCAATTGTTTCTAGGCACGTGCATTATATTATTGCTGAAAAGATAAGCTCTTACCTCCAATAACCCTTATTGCTTGCCCCTCGCTCCCATTAACCCTTATGTCGTTGCCCTTTTTCAAAATAAAGTTCAACTTGCTTCTTAAGGGATGTTTATTTGGTTTTGTTTTTGTTTTTGTTTCTGTTTTTTTTTTTTTTGCAAATTTGTTTCAAGTTTTTTAATTAACTCGTGTCGCCAACTTTTCTCCCACTTCTATTTTTTCTTCTTTTTTTTATTATTTTTCATTGCCTTTTCAACTGATTCGATCAGTTTGGGGCCTAAAAACAACGTCACCGAAATGTGTAAAATAAAAATAAAAATAAAAATAAAAATGGGTAAAGAAAACAAAGTTGAAAAGTAATTATTGGCACATTTATGCAAAGGCTCGTCCATACGATATTTGAAGTATACATACTACTATATAATTGCTGCCTAAAATATATACATAAAATAAACAAAATCCCCAGCGCACCCTTAAGTTGCGAGTAAACTCCATCCAGCTCCCATCCACCCCACCACTCTGCACCCCTTAATGTCCATCTAATTGCGCGCTCCTCGCAAAACAACAGAGAATGCTCAAAGGGGGGCGGGGTGGGCGTGTTTTCGTTGCCCGGCACGCCGAGAACATTTGTAAAAAACTTAAAAATTGCAAACACGTCTTCATTGTTTACAAAATGTTGGCCGGAAACAGGCTTAAGGCTCAACCTCTCTCGCTACCTCCCCCTCGCACCATCGCTAAATCATTTGAGTCCCTTGCCAAAAAATAAAATACAGCAAAAAAAAAACAAAAGTTTAAATTTTAATTAAATCATGTTGTATATAGAATGATGCACGTGGGAACAGCAACAGCAGCAGCAGCAGCAGCAGTAGCAGGAGATGGGGGTGGCGGTGGGGTGCCTTGCCACTTGGGGCACACAAGTCAATGATGATGGTAGCGATAAGCGCTCCACTGGGTGTGCTCAGAGGCGCCACCAGGCACCAGTTCAGAAATTGCCTACAAAGCAAATGTTGGCCAAGTCTATTGAACATTGCCAGAGAGTTGGGGAAGATGGGCCACTGGCAAGAGGCAGACTTGGCCATGTTCTGCTCTCTTGCTTGCAGCATTTAATAACGCATTTATATAGAATACCAAAACGATGCCTCTTAAGATATAAAATTTACTCAAGATTGCGCTTCGCAATGCGATTATTGACTTTATTTTTGGTCTACTCACTTCTTGCTTAACAAAGCTGAATTCGATTTAAGTAGAGATCTGCTGAGTTACAAAATTTGGCTAAATTATATATAGAAAGCAAAAAATACAGATTGACAAGAGACAAAATTTAAATTAAGTTATTTTTTCACTCCTTTAAACTCATCTTTTACATCTTTTTTATACAATTTGTTGTAGTTTGTAGAATATGATATGAGTAGTTTCTTGATTTCTTTATAAAATAGATATGTGAATATATTAAAATAAACAGTTTCAGTAAATTAGTAAATTTTAAATATTTACGATTTACTGACAAGCTATACTCGTATGCATAAATATTATGCACTAATATTTTGTAATCATTATGACTAAAAGCAGTTCGTCATTATAAAACTTATAACACCTATTACTATGCAAGACAAAGGAAACATTTACGTGATGGACTTATTTCTAACAGAAATAGGAGCTGGGTATCCTATTTATACCCAGCAACTGCCACCCCCCCATTATGACAACTCCCACGGACGCATTCAAATTCGTTTTGATCTTTCCACTCGCTCTGCAAATTTGAGCAACTAATGCGACCTCGTCATGTATTTCATTTCTCGATTCGTTTCGTTTCATTTCAGCAGCAGCAGCAGCAGCAACAACTACAACAACAGGGACGCCAACATCGTCATCCGCATTGTCGTCCGCGCTGGAAACGCAATCAACTGTTATAATTTCGTTTAAATCATCTCAAACACCTGTGCTGTCTCAAAGGCCAGCAGCGACAGACAATGCTGCCACTGCTACTGCCACTGCTGCTGCCACTGCTAGTGCGGGTGGCGAGGAGCTGTTGCAGCTGGCAGAGGAAATGGATGGCGAGGCGCCACCGCTGCCGCCACCGCCCGGCTACGGAACGCCAACAAATCCGCTGCTGTCTAGCAATGTGCTCAAAAAGGTGGCCAGCTTCTCGGTCGAGAGATCGTCGGTGGGCAACAGCAGCAGCAATAACAACAACAGCAGCAGCAATTGCTGTGCGCTCGCTGCTCAGTCGCCCGTTGTGGCGCCGCCTAGCGACGAGAAGGAGTCAACATTGACGGCAACGCAACTGGAACAGCAGCAGCAGCAAAATTACGCTGGGTCGCGACGCGGCTCATCTTTTGTGCCGGAAAAGTTAAGCTTCGCTGCCTATGAAAAGTTCGAAGGTAAGTCTCGCTCTCTCTCTCCCTCTCCTTCTCCCTCTTCTTCTCTCTCCCTCCCACCTCTCCCACTCCCTCTTTCACTCTCTGTTGAATGACTCAACTCAAGCGCAGCCTGTCGAGCTGAGCTGAGGGTTGGGAGTTATTTTTATATGCCTTATGTATATTCATATATACACATTTATATATATATATAATGTATATACATATTTATATATATATACATTTATGCCGACATTTTTGTGCGCTCTGCTTGCTGTTTGTCTTTGAGCCGTTGAGCTTGGCCAATTTTGTGCGCCACGTTTGATTGCGTTTCTCGGTTCGTCATTGTTTACCCGAAGTTAACAATTAGTTTACCCAACTCCCTTCTACCACCTTGGCCCTTGGGGCAACACAAATCAGTTAACCAATCAAAAGACAATGCGCCACTTGAGTGAATCATTAGCTCCCCCAAAATAATGTAACAATAACAATTTGTGACTGGCGCCATCTATCGGCGACAATGCTTACAGCTTGTACATTTCTTATTCTTCAGCAGCTGTTAAACATTGTTCAACTTTAATGAAAATTGCATTTAAAATTTGTAAAAATTTTGAAAAATAAATTTGAAAAAAAATTACCATGATCCTTCGAGCCGGATTTGAACCAGCGACCTATGGATGTCTATCAAATTCAATTGCCCAATTCTACAGTCCACCGCTCTACCAACTGAGCTATCGAAGGTCTATATTTGCTGGCGCACAAATCAAGTCCAAAAGCTGCTTTAGCTTAATCAACAACAAAAAACAACAACACAACACGAAACAACAACAACAATAACATTTCAGTGCGTATTCAATAAAAGTGAATGCAAACGCTTATCGCAGCAGTTGCTGTTGTTTGTTGTTGTTGTTTGTTGTTGTTGTTTGTTGTTGTTGTCTTGATTTCTGTGCAAATCATTCGCCAAACTTGATTTTGTTGTTGTTGTTGTCTGTCTGATCAATTATATCGATAAATGTTGAGCATATCTCAAAGGGCATTTACTTATTTATATGTTTATGTATGTATATCGAGTAAACTTTCGCTTTCTTGCTGCCAAAAGTTTCAGAAAAGAAAACTTACTCAAAAACTTTTATTTGAGTTTTCTTCGCTATTTTTAAGCTACTTTTAATAGTTTTCTCATTTAAAAAATGCAACAAGAGCATTGTTTATTTCATTTAAAGACTATTGTGAGGTGTTAAGTATTTAACTGCACATAAATACATACAAATATACATTTGTGTGCATTTTAAATAAAAAATGATTACAATCCTTCGAGCCGGATTTGAACCAGCGACCTATGGATGTCTATATCTTTAGTAAACCACTCTACAGTCCACCGCTCTACCAACTGAGCTATCGAAGGTATATATATGTGCGGCGTATCTATGTCTTTTTGATGTCAGGTATTTTCTTTTGTGCTGATAACCAAATTAATTGAAATTTGTACAATCGGCTCCATGCTGCTTCCAAGTTTTGTCTCTTTGTCCAAAATTGAGCAACTTGCAATGCATGATCAGACATAATACTCTCGTAGTAATATGTCTCTCTATCTGCTATCACTTGCGTCCTGCTAAAAATAGCCCAATAAATGTCATGCTACAAATGCAATTCCACAGACAAACGCTATCAATAATTAAAGTATAATCTAAATATTTATTTTTTGATCATAATTGAAATAACTTAGTTTTGCATAATAGTTTAGAGTACGCAAATATTCATTTATAAAAATGAATATATATATAAATATACATACAACTCTCCTTTAAAGGTGTCTTTATAACCTATCTCAGTTTAGAGAACTTATAAATCCGTTTTTAGAAGTGGAAGACTTTTAAAAACAAGAGACTGAAAATGAAAATGTATTTGACATTTTCAACTTATTTAATAGCCTTAATGAACAATTAACAAAACGTAAATAAAAATGCATCTAAATTCGATTCTGAATGCTTTCAAGTATTTTAAATAAATTGATTTTAAGGAGAACTGAAATAAAAACTTGGCTGACTGTTTCTTGGATGATCGTAACGGGCTGCCAAATTTCTTGCCATTTCAATTTCCCAACATAAATAATTAATTTTTTGAAAATTAACTTGTTCAATTTCATTTAATTCTGCTACTTAATAGTTGTCAAAAATCCCCCTCCTCTCCATTTGTACATTTATTTTGTGGAATTTGTTGTCTAGTTATTTACGAGTATTTGTTTCAAGTATTTGCTTGGTTGCGTCTGCAGTTGACAGCGTTGAACATGAGAAACGTGCTATGCAAATTTACAAATTCTTTCACTCCTACCGAGTCCCCCCCACCCCCCTCCAGGGACGAATATTTTGCTTAAGAAAAGTGTTTCCAACTCCTCCGAGTATCCCTCGGGGCTTGCTATACGCCGCTTTGATTCTGATTAGATTAGGTTAAAGTTTCACTTTGCCACAAACAAATATTTGTGGCATACTTTCGGGCGGCGTTTTTAAATCGATGCGTCGCATCGCAGAAATGTGAATGGCATGTCCCCCAACCCCACCCCTCTTCTCTTTCTGCACCTCCTACACCCATAATCTTGCCCTAAAACTTGTCACATTTTTGCGCTTTGGCGAATTATTTGTGGCGGCAACTATGAGAAACATTTGAGTTGCGCCAGCACATTTTGGGGCCATTTTGAAATGCACTCCTTGTTTTCTTTTTGTGTGAGTAGGGCACGCTAATTGGTTGCATGCCGCCTGACTGCGTGCTGCAATCGAGGCTAAGGTCTGCGGCAAATTAATGCAAACAAACATTTTAACGCCTCGCTGGGCAAACAACAAAAGCTCCAAGGACGACGACTGCATTGAAAACCTAAAAGCCCCACGCAATTTTCACTGTCCTTCTGAATCTGCCTCTGCCTGCAGCTGCAGCTCCTACTCCTGCTCCAGCCTGCTGCTTGTCACTCTGTCTGAAGTGGCCATCAATTCGTTCGTTTGCTGCGGTTAACCCACAAAAATCTGATTTATATGCCCGGCAACGTCCTGCGTTCGCTGCTGAGAGCTGCTGGTGCTGCTGCTGTAAAAGGATCCACGAAAAGGAGCTGCGAACGGGCATCCTCTTCCGTAGCCTCATCCTCATCCTCATCATCATCAGCTCTTTGCCATCCGCAGTACCAAACAATGTTTGGGCAACGCTTAATGAAACAATATTTTAGTAGACGAATATAGCGCCAAAGTTGCGGGCGTGTAAGAGCGAGAGGGGGAGGGGAATGAAGGAGCAGTGGCTGCAGTTGCAACTAGCATCACGGGAGATGTGCACGCCATACCCTGTAACCATTTAATGTGTGGGTTAAAAGCAGTGCATCAAATCGAATTGAGTTTAGATTCCATTTTTGGTAATTCTCCATAAGAAAATTTGGCAATTGGAGATTTTGCTCCTTCTGGCTCTCAATCTGAATCGGCAAGTTCCTGTTCAGGTTTCGGTTAAAAGCGATTCATTTGTCAACTCGCTGATCACATAAACTATAAGCGCCAGATCTAAAATTGTAAATGTATATTTGGCTATATTGTAATGCAATCAATTTGATCAATTTTGTCCAGAGTTCAATCAGATTAAAATATAGAGACACTCGAGCTTTAATTTTATTTACAAATATTTGATTATTTCATTTGATTGTCACATTTGTTTATTGCAAAATGACTTTGAATATGCCGAAATAATTTGCAACAAAAAAATGTTAGAATCCTTCGAGCCGGATTTGAACCAGCGACCTATGGATGTCTATCTATAGTAAATCACCAATCTACAGTCCACCGCTCTACCAACTGAGCTATCGAAGGTATATATATGTGCGCCGATTCGAAGTCTTTATAATGTCAGCTTTTTTCTTTAATGCTGATAACTGGCAGCGCTTTAAGAAATATGCATAATCAGCTGCTGCCAAATTTTGTCGATGTATGCAATTTAATATGAAATCACATTTAAGTGACATCTGACATAAGTCATAAAAGGTAGACATAAGATGATAGACATAAGATGATAGCTAGAAGTCAATGTTTATGAAAATGTGATGGGTTCTAGGAAAAATGAAGGTCCTTTGTGAGTTATGAATTTGCATATGATATGTCTGCTTTGTATTTATTTTGGGGGTACTTCCATTCACTAATAGATCTATTATGCTCCCCAGTTGCATCTCAATCTAGGGTATCTCATATTGCGCACTTCCAACACAAATACGCTTACTTCTTCTTGTTGCTGTGTGTGGTTTTCCTCTGTGCAACGTTTCATTTTCAGCAGAGTTTTTCGTTGTTGTCTGTTGTTGCTGTCTTTCGAGGTAGAAAGTGTTGTCTGTCTGCCCCCGTCCGCCTGTCGACTGCTGTCGTTGATGAATGCAACGCATGCATGCGTGCAGCGGCGCGCCTCCCCACGCCTAACTTGTAATCACCACCCCCACAAACTGGCCGACACTCAGCGAAATCAAACCTAGAAACGAGTACGTTTTTCTAGCTTATTGAAATAATTGCTAAAAATAAAAATGCTTGTTTTAAAGATTTTTTTTGGGAAAATGTAGAAATACGAAGGCTTATTTTGAATAACATTTGTAGTAAAATTATGGAAAATTCTCTGCAAGCAATGGAAATTAATTTAGAAAAATATTTCTAAGAATTTAGAAATGAAGACAAAAACAACTTTTCATTTATTTTGAAATGGACTTTTTCTCTGAGTGTACTGCATGCTCGTGCTCTTCTTGGATTCTGCCCGCTCGCCAGTCAACGCAGCAGTTATGCAAATTTGTTGGCCGCCGTTTCGCGCACTTTCATCAAAGTTGCCAAACGTTGCCAGCCGCTAAGTTGGCTGCCACAAACCCTCACCCCTCCCGTCTCTCCCACAACTGTTCCCTCTGCCTGCAGCTCACACAGAGGCCGCACTGGCCACAAGCGATAGCCGCACCTCGTCTCACTTCGAGCCTATCAATGACGCCAGCTTATCAGCTTTAATTACATCAGCCTAATCACCATTGTTCGGCATTT